CAGAATATGGCTTTTAAGATGTGTTATTAGCCGGACGTTGGTGGCGCACGCCTTTAATCCCAGCACTTGGGAGGCAGAGGCAGGTGGATCTCTGTGAGTTCGAGGCCAGCCTGGTCTCCAGAGCGAGTGCCAGGATAGGCTCCAAAGCTCACAGAGAAACCCTGTCTCGAAAAACCAAAAAAAAAAAAAAATGTGTTATTAACACAAGGTTATTTTTTTGTTATGACAATGAGACACACCTGCTTCTGGCAGTGCCAATCTACTTTAGAGAAGATGATGGGCATCAAAGAAACTCCATACAGAGTTTACTTTCTTTGTGGCAAATGTTAGCCACTTCGCAAGAAACTGCCATTGCCTTGACTGCTGACAGTATGCTGTCCAAATTGGAAAATCGGGACACACGAAAATATGACTGCCAAATTTTGCCAAGACAAGGCAGGACAGTCCTTCAAAAATCCTGCTTCATAGAAAAGTTTGTCAGATATCCGAGGCCTGTAGGCCAAAGATGGATGCCTCAATGTTACAGACAAACCTTGGATGACTATCCAGGCAGCCAGCTGTTTCTGTGAGTTCTTAGTTCTGAAAGTTGTTTGCATTGCACTTCCTGTTTTCTCAAGTAATAGTATATCCTTCTCAGGTCTCTGATGGAGTTAAAGACTAGATATAGTTTTCCTTGTTACCAAATTCAGAAAAGAAACTCACAAAAATGTGTAAAGTGTATAAGGTTGAGGGACATAAAAGATAGTTCTGGGTTGGTAATGCAAGTTATGATAGAAAATAAATTAGGTACAAGACTCTGGACTCACCAAGATAGGATAGATATGGGATATTTTCTCTGAATTTGTCAAATGCAAATGAACTAAATCTTGTTAATTATTGTCTATATATATTTGTATATACTTATTGTACTTATTGTATGTAGTTTTACTATGTTAGTTAAAACATTTTGTTTTTATTTAAACAAAAAAGGGGGAAATGTTGTGTGATATTTTGATTGTGTTCTGACAAATAAAGCTTTCAGAGGGCAGAGCTAGGCACTAGCTAACCACAGAGGTTTGGAAGACTGTACAGAGAGGAGACATGAAGTAGCAAGGTGGGACAGAGAGAATCTCAGCCCCTTTTGGATGGAGGAACTGAAGAGGTAGGAAGCAACTAGCAACTACCCCCTGTTCTCTGATCTTTCAGGTTCTTACCCCAAAATTTAACTCCTGATTCTTAATTGATAAAAATTCATTAGATTAACACTTCACTACACCTTGAGACCTTGTATCAAAAAAATAAGTAAAATGTTAGTGGATGAAATTCTGAAAGGAAACAGACTTGTTTAATCTCAAATTATCTTTCTGAAAGTACTAATTACAAGAAAAACCCAGGGTGGCCAAGCCCGACGACCTGAGTTTGACCCCCAAGACCCATATGGGAGAAGGAGAGAACTGCTCAAAGTTGTCCTTTGACCTCCTCGTGTACACTGTGTCATGTACACACATAGTAAGTACACTAGGGAGGCTGAAGTGAGCCAAGTACAGTATACTACGCCTCACAACATGGAACGTGTTCAAAAGCACTGCCGGCCAGACCTCACAGGTGGACTACCTGGAAGTCTTTTTTTTTTGAGACAGGGTTTCCCTGTGGCTTTGGAGGCTGTCCTGGAACTAGCTCTTGTAGGCCAGGCTGGTCTCGAACTCACAGAGATCCACCTGCCTCTGCCTCCTGAGTGCTGGGATTAAAGGCGTGTGCCACCAACACCCAGCTCTGGAAGAAGTCTTACACAAGAAACATTTTTATTTCACCCACATCATATTCTGGGATAGAACTGTGCATGGTGCCTCATACCTATTTGTCCTGATAATTGAAGGCTGAGACAGGAGGATTGCTGAGAGTTCAAAGCCAGACTGAGCTAGTGAATGAGTTCCAGGTCAGCCTGGGCAACAATGTGAGACCCTGTCTCAAAAAAAGATAAAAGTAAAACTAAAGTTATAGAACATGCAAAATTACAATTTTTTTTGAAGTCCAGAATAGGTTTCATTATGGCATTTTTCTTTTTTTACAGATTTATTTATTTTATGTGTACGGGCATTTTGTCTGCATGTATGTTTGTGTGCCATGCGCATGCCTGGTACTGAGCAAGGTGCTGGATCCCCTGGAACTATAATTGTGGATGTTTGTGAGCCATCATATGGGTGCTGAGAAGCAAACCTGCCTCTCCACGGGCTCGTGACACAGGTGTGCACCATCACACTCACCTTTCATTATGGCGCTTTCACGTGTGTCACTGTACTTTGCTTTAATTTATATCTCCAATGCCCTCTTTTCCACCCCTGTTCATCTCTGGCTAGTTCTTACTGCACCCTGGAAAATTCTCCCTTCCACTTACATATGACATGTATTCTATTATCTGCATACAAGTTCCAGACTGTCACAAAACAAACAAAACGTAAAACAGCAAGGGACCTCTGCTGCTCTACTCTTCTTATCTCATCTTTCCCCCCTTAAATGTGCTGACACTAAGCCACCTGTGACTATTTAAATTAATGAAAAATATAAATGAAATTCACTTTAGTCTCACTAGCACTTAGGGGAGGGAGTTTGGAGACAGGGTTTCTCTGTGTAGCCCTGGTTGTCCTAGAACTCACTATGTAGAGCAGGCTGGCCTCCAACTCAGAGATGTGCCTGCCACTAACACTTTTTGCAAGTGTTCAACAGCCAAATGTGGCATATGCCTATTGTACTTTCTGACTGATAAATTTTGTGATTACTGTATAGTGTGTGACTTCTATACTTTGTGTGCATATGACTACTCTATTGACTAAGTAAGTGAACATTTCCATCATCATAAAAAGTTCTATCGGGAGCTAAAGAGGTAGCTCATTGATTAATAGCACTGGCTGTTCTTCCAGAGAACCCAGGTTCAATTTCTAGCACCTATATAGCAATTCACAACTGTCTGTAATTCCAGTTCCAGGGGATCAGACACTCTAGCACAGACAAACATGCAGGCAAAATACCAATGCACATAAAATGAAAAATAAATCAATTATTTTTAAAAGCCAGAAATGGGAATTTTTAACATAAATTTTGAAAAATACAACTTTGCATGTGTGTGGGGGATGTGTATATGTATGCTTACATATAAGGGGTGGGGTCACCTATGTGCATGTGAAGGCAGAGGCTGACACTGGATGTCTGCTATCAGCCCGAGCTCATGGCTTGGCCAGTCTAGTTAGCCAGCTTGTTTCAGGGACTCCCTTACTCTATGTCTCAAGTGCTGGATTATACGTGGTCTGCTGTGCTCACTCTGAATTTATGTGTGTTCTGGGGTCCCAAATTTTAAGTCCTTCCACTTACAGGTCAAGTGCTTTACCCACTGAACCACTTCCCCAATCCCACTTACAACTTATTGTCTAAGATTAAATGAAATGAAATGAAAATTAAATACTAAGATGAACTAAACCTATCTGTGGCCACATATGGGTCATGGATATATATACACCATCAAACTGAAAATTTTAAACAATACCTACAATATCCCAAAAGCATAAATAGAGACAATACTTCTCAAGCTGATTATTATGGGCTTCTCATGACAGGAAAACCAAACCTTATTACAGAAGGGAGAGGGTTTTTTCAGAGCTAGACACTGACCCTAGATCCTTGTACATGTGGCACTAGTGTTCCAACAGTTGAGAAATGAATTTCCCTCTCCTTAATGCTCTAAAACATTTCCATAGAAACTATTTTCTCTCACAACATGAAAAGGGAAAGGCTAGTTATCAGAATCAAGTCTTTAAAGGGAGCTGAAACCAAATAATGGTTTTATATTTAAGCTCTTGGGATCTTAAAACAAGAGCCCATAGGTGGCTGATGGCTGTAATTCCAGCACTCAGGACATGCGGACAAGTGATACCTGCAACAAGCTGACTAGTAGAGTAGACAAATTGGGGAACTATGGGTTCAAATGAGATACCCTGTGCCAATTAAAGTGGGAAGAGCCCAAGGAAATCATCCAATACCATCCTCTGGCACCTACAAGCAGACACACATGTGATCACGTGCATCTGCATACACACCTACCTCCCACATATGTAAACAAAACTACATGCACGTATACACATGAAAAAGATTGCATTTTAAACTTGCATTTCCTCCTATTTGTTTGTACATATGTTTGTCTTTGTGACTGTGCACACATATGTGTGTGTGTGTGTGTACCTGAATGCAGAGGAAAACCGTGAACAGTGGTACTGTTCCTTAGGGACTGCTCACTTTTTTTTTTTTTTTTTTTGGTTTTTGAGTCAGTGTTTCTCTGTGAAACAGTCCTGGCTGTCCCAGAACTCACTCTGTAAACAAGGCTGGCTTTGAACTTACAAACTCAGAGAGATCTGCCTGCTTCTGCCTCCCCAAGAGCTGGGTCTAAAGGCATGAGCCACTACTGCCTGCTCTTTTTGTTTGTTTGTTTGTTTGTTTGTTTTGTTTTGCTTTGTTTTTTTGAGAAAGGGTCTCTCACTAGCCTGGAACACAACAAGAAAGCTAGAATAGCTGACTATTGAGGCAAAAGGATTAGAAGTATAGTGATTCATAAATACATGAACAATCTGACTTATATTTTGCCTATTTGTAAAAAGGAAAAAGCAAACAGCCCTGCTACCTCAGCCCTGGAGACCTTCTGGATGCAGAACAAACAGAAAGCTGTTAGGGGAACAGAGCAGGGTGTAAAAATTCTAAATAAGCGCCTCCTGAAGAAGGCCTGGGAAGAATGCAGCTATCAAGAAAAACCTGATGGGATTGACTCCCTTGTGAGGCATATAAAATGACCTATCCCAAGACATAGAAAAATATGGCAATCACAGGCTTAACTTCAATTCAAAGACAAAAGGTCAGATTGTATTAAAGAAAAAAGAAAAGTCAAAAGAGCGCCTGCAAGCTAATTCCCCAGTGTCTGTTACTGTCATTGAAAAAGAGGACGGTCTCAAACCCCAAGGCTTTAGGAATTCCAAGAAAATGCTCTCTCTGGCAGTGCCATATGCTAAAATTGGAAGAATACAGAGACTGGCATGGCCCCTGTGCAGGGATGACACACATATTTGTCAAGTGTTCAATATTTTAAGATGCTTTGAAGTTCAATAAAGCATGTAGGAGACTTTAGCCAGAGAGAGAGAGAGAGAGAGAGAGAGAGAGAGAGAATCCCAAACAAAAAGGAAGAGGGAAAAGAAACTTCCTGGATTGTGCTAGGAGTTCCCTTAACCCCCAAACTCTAGTCTCCCTCACCAGCATCACAGTCTCAAGATTTTTTTATTTATTTTCTTTTCCCATTCTGTTCCTTTGTTATTTTTGTTTGTTTTGTTTTGTTTTTTTGCTATGTAGCCCATGCCGGCCCCGGACCTCTTTATGTAATCAGACTGGTCTCAAACTCTTAACAATCCCCCTGCCTCAGTAACCTGAGTGCTAAAGTTACAAATACACATCACCACAAAGGGTAAAAAGCTCAGCTTGTTTTCCACTGTGGGCCCCAATGCTGTACATACTAGGGCTCTCTGTTTTATTTTGCGTGCTATCAGATCATAACACTGTAAGCATCTCTCTAATTTGGAAAGTAGGCTCCAAGCCAAGGTCAAAAGAAGAGCAGAGTTGGGGGAAGGCACCAGATGGGCTCAAACTATCATTTTCATCAGTGACTCACCAGGGAGCCAGATACAGCATCCCTTCTTTTGACCCCATATCTCCTAAGAGAACAGAAAAAAGTCTTTCCCTTTGGTTCTGATGACACACTAGCTTATCCACTATCTACATTTTGGTCTCTAGAAACAACCAGAAGAATGGAGGCAGGTTTATGGTGTCAAAAGAAGAAATACAAACTAATTTTACAGTTCTTTTGATTCTAGAAAAGAAGTAATTTCCTTTCCCTTCATCACCCCTCATATTTACAAGCCGGTGACTAAGTCCTTTCCATGACCAAATCATTGCCATTTGAATACCAAATAACTACATCTACTGAACTCTCATTAGACTGTATTCTAGACACACAACATGTATTAACCTTTTCAACATGTACTATTATTCTATTTTAATTTTTTATTAATAATTATTATTATTGTGTGTATGCGCACATTCCTATATGCCTATGTGTGTCATACGTAAGCATGGCATGTCCATGCCATGTTGTGAGTGTAGAAGTCAGAAAACCATGTTGGAAATAAGGACTCTTCTTCCATTGTAGGTTCAGGGGATCTAACTTGGGATGTCGGGCTTACGTGGCAAGTGAGTTACAGGCTGATCCATCTTGGTGGCCCATTATCCTACTTTATAATTGAGGAAACTGAAGAGGAAAGCCAAGAGTATCCAAACTACATGAGTCCACATGTATCCTATTCCTTTGTTTCTTATTCTGAAAATTTTCAAGTATGCAAAAAATTTGAAATGATACAATTATCAAACATTTATCATCTAGCCTATTTCTGTTTTTTCATTTTATCTAGTTTAAATGTTAATACCTTGCTACATTCAGGCTCAGGTTTTCTTTTTATATTTCCAGTTACATTTGTTTATTATTTGTGTGTATGTATATGTGTTACAGTGTATGTGTGGAAGTACACATACAACTGTGGAAATTGGTTTGCTCTCCTCAGTTATGTTCTGGGGATATAACCCAGGCCATCAGACTTGGAGGTAAACACCCTGAACCAGATGAACCATCTTGCTGGTCCAGGTCAGATTTCCTAAAGGATAAAGTATACATATAAAAGATGAAAGAAGCTGTGCATGGTGGGGTGCAAACCTTTAATCCCAGCACTGGGGAGGCAGAGGCAGGAGGAGAAAGCAAGGAGGAAAGGAAGGAAGGAAGGAAGGAAGGAAGGAAGGAAGGAAGGAAGACAGGGGAGGAAATGCACAGGCTATGGCGTTGTCTCCGTGGCTAAAATGCTCGCTGCACAAGCTTGAGGACTTGAGCTCAGATCCCCAGCATCCCTAAAAAGTCTAGCATGGTGTCATGAACCTGTAATCCCAGCTCTGAGGAGGCAGACAAGGGGATCTTGGGAGCTTGCTGGCCAGCCAGTCCAGCTGAATCAGTGAGCTTCAGATTCAGTGAGACCCTCTCAGAAAATAAAGTGAAGACACCAGGCATGGTGGTGCATGACCTTAATCCCAGTCTAGGGAGACAGAGGCAGGCAAACTTCTGTGAATTTGAGGCCAGCCTGGTCTACACAGTGAGTTCCAGGTCACCTAAAACCACATACTAAGTCTCTGTCTCAAAAAAAAAAAAAAAAAAACCCCATTTGGACCTCTGGCCCCCACATGTACACATATAGGCATGTACACTTACACATAATATCTCTCTCTCTCTCTCTCTCTCTCTCTCTCTCTCTCTCTCTCTCTCTCTCTCTCTCTCTCTCTCTCACACACACACACACACACACACACACACACACACAGCAAATACACACTAATTATGTGGGAAAGGCTTGAATTCAACAAGAACATAAAAGAAAATCAAAACAAAGTAACTTCACCATATAATGATTTGTCTATTAAACTAGCAACCACAAATCTAATTTGAAAAGTCAGTGCCAGCAGACAAAGAGACAGTTCACGCCTCTGTGGATACTGCAGGTGACACCACAGGCTGGCTCAAGATTTCTGATGAACACTCTGGTTTTTGCATATAATAACTAAAACTTTTTGCAGCCTTTGATCCAATTAGAAAATAACAGAGAAAAAAACTTGTCATTGGCTAGGGAGAGGGATCAGAAAGTGAGAGCTTACTTTCTCTGTGCTAGCACAAAGACCCAAGTCCAAATTCCCACACTCACATAAAAAGCCAGGCATGGCTGCAAACCCACCTGTAACCCTAGCACTACTCGGGGTGCAGACAAGACGATTGATCCATGGGGCCTTTTGACTACCAGCCTAGCTCCAGGTTCAGTGGAAAACCTGTCTCAAGGGAATAAGGAGAAGAATGCTAGAACAGGGTACCCAATGTCCTCTTCTAGCCCCTGGATGTTCACACGGACATACACACCAACACATGACCACACATACACATGTATATACAAAAAAAAAAAGAAGAGTAAAAAGGATGGAAGGAAGGTATATAAAGGAAGGAAAGAAGGAGTAAAAAAAGGATGAATGAATTTCAAGCTGGCCTGGTAATAAAAGTCTGTTATCCCAGTTACTCAGAAGTCCTCCTTACATTGTGAGTATAAAGCTAGCTTGGGTAATTTAGTAGATGGCATTTCAATTTTTTTTTGTTTTGTTTTGTTTTGTTTTGTTTTTCGAGACAGGGTTTCTCTGTGTAACAGCCCTAGCTGTCCTGGAACTAGTTCTGTAGATCAGGCTGGCCTCAACTCACAGAGATCCACCTGCCTCTGCCTTCCAAATGCTAGGATTAAAGGTGTGTGCCACCACCCAGCGGTATTTCAAATTTTTTAAAAAGAAGAAAAGGGTTGAGGATCTGGCTTAGTGGTAGAGCACTTGACTGTTGTGGGTCCAGCCCTACATTCAATTCTCAGTATAAAAAAAAAAAAAAGAAAAACAAATTTCTACTACACACACATACTACTAACAATAAACAGGTATCTCAAGTTCTACGAACAAAAGAATTAACCTTTTACCACTATATTCATCAATCTGACTCCATATTATCAAGTCACTTAAAATGATAAGCACAGGGCCTGTTTTAATGAGTGGAGGTGTGCAATCTGCCCTGGCTACAAACCACTCTTCTGTATGTGAATCCCAGTGCTGCCAGTACACTTTGAGCAAACTTCTCTTCTAAGAATGAACTTGGATTCCTTTGAGTCCCTGTTTTTTTTTTTTTTTTTTTTTTAATGGGGTAGGGTGAGTAGTCAAGGATCAAACTCAGAGCCTTTCATGAATGATGACTGTTGTGCTCTACTTCCACACTACATCCCAAGTTCGACGTGTATATTTATAAGCTGAAAATAAGAGACGGTTGGAAAGCAAACTCCTGAGTCAGACTACCTGAACTCTTAGCTCAGTGCTGCATCTGATGGTTTAGATGACTGAACCTCCTGACATTCTAGTTTTAATTCATGTGTCTAAATAAAATATATTTAGTTACTCTGTGGCTGAGAATAGAATCTACCCCATTAAGTTCTTTAAAGTTGATATACGATGATGACTGCAGAGGGCTTAACATAAGTATTTCACATGTAGGTTATTCTCCACAAATATCAGCACTTTATATTCAATTATTGTGGTCGGTAGTGACCACTATGTTCTTGCCATGGCAAAGTGGCCTAGGTTCCAAAGTAGTGCAGAAGTCAGCCAGGTGTAATGATGTAAGGCTGGTTGGTGCCTTACACCAACAATACCTACCATCACTTTCACCAGTGTGCAGTCAACTGCTTATTGAAAATAGCAGACACTATTTAAAATTTGCCATTTTAGGAAACTAGAGAGGTGGCTCACTGGCTGCTTTTCCAGAGGACCCAGATTCTATTCCCAACACCACATGGCAGCTCACAGCTGCTGTAACTCCAGTTCCAGGGAATCTGGTGCCCTCACATAAACATATATACAGGTGAAATGCTAATGCACATAAAAATAAATCTTTAATTAAAAAATTGCCATTTTTGTAATCACTATTAAGAACCTTACAAGATAAGTGTAATTATTAAGAAAAAAACAAAACAAAACAAAACCATGAGCTCAAAGAGGTATATGCACATTAAGTGAAACAAAGAAAATGTCTGTCCAGTGTTTAGTGGATGCCAACTCTAAGTTAACTGTCCCTACACACTTGCAATGACAGACACAGTTAAAACTTGGCCATTAAGTCTCCTTTGTTTCATGTTAGTCTGCTTTTTCAAATACAAGTGGGAAGGCCCAATCCCAGCAACACTTTGAAACGTCTGCTTTGTTTTGTTTGTGGCATGAGGGACTGAAGCAGGGCCCCATGTATGTGAGGCAAACATCACATCCAACCACTGAGCTACATCCCTAGCTCCAAATGCTGCTGGTGACCCATGCCATTCCTCCCCCAACCCCCAGAAGGGGCCAGGCAATGTACTAAATATCACTTGGGCACTGGCACCAGCAAGCGCTTACCTGGAGGAGATAGAGAAGTCCTGGGGCAAACAAGGTGACTG